GCCCAGCTGGGGCTACAGGGAGACCCAAAGCCGAGGCTCATACCCCTAGAGGCTCTTTGATTTTTCCGACTGCAGGGAAGGCAAAACCTCCAGATTTCCAACACCTGAGCTATTGAGACATTTGAGACAAAGGGGGCTGGACGAGTCCATTTCTATCAGCGCTAGAAACAAATCACCATCCCAAGTCACATTATGTCCCAAACTCAGGATGAAGCTAGGACCTAGGACCTGGGACCTGGGAATGGGCCCATGTTGAGTCCCAGGAGGATGGGGGGGGGGGGGTTGAACAGTGCCTACCTTCCAGGTTCAGTGGATCTGTCCACTGGAGTTTCCAAAAATTGAGCTTCGGAGAGTCCATTCTGGATTCTAGGGGATAACAGTGCCCAACTGTTTCTATGGTGGTGGAAAGTCCGTTACTGCCCATCCCTAAAGAGTCCAGGGTCATCCTCCAAAAACAAAGTGAGCAGGGGCTGCAGAGATGGCTCAGCTAAGAGCACTGGCTGCTCCTGCAGAGGACCCAGGATCCAGTCCCAGCACCCATATGGCAGCTAACAACTGGCTAACTCCTGTTCCAGGGGATCTGACGCCCTCTTCTGACCTCCTCCGGCATTGCGTGACATGGGTGCATTTACATACATGTAAGTGATACACTCATACAGATAAAATTTAAAAAAATAGAGCCGGCATGGTGGTGCTGCCTTTAATCCCAGCACTTGGGAGGCAGAGGCAGGCGGATCTCTGTGAGTTCAAGGCCAGCTTGGTCTACATAGCGAGTTCCAGGACAGCTGGGGCTACAGGGAGACCCTGTCTCAAAAAGACCGAAAAAAGAGAGCGAGAGAGAGAGAGAGAGAGCAAAAGAAAACATGTGGATCTGGACTCAAAATAGTCTTTCTTAGGCCTAGTGGCACAGGCCTGTGAACCCAGCAACTCAGGAGGCTGAGGCAGGAGGACCACAACTTCAAGGCCATCCTCGGCTACAGAGGGAGTTCAAGGCCAGCCTAGGCAATTTGTAGAGACCTGGTCCTCAAAATAAGAAAAAAAGAAGAAGGCCTGGGGTTGTGGTTCAGTGATAAGAGACCCTACCTAGAATCCCCAAGTGAAAGGATAGGGTGTGAATCAGTGGTAGAGCCCCTGCCTAGACTCTCCCAGTGAGGAACTTGGAATGTAATTTAGTGGTAGACCCCTTGCCTAACATGGATGGAGAGGCCCTGTCTTCAATCCTCAGTACTGTTAATGAAATCAGGATGTCTTTATTTTATACATATATATATTTATGTATAAAATTTTATAATCTTTTATAAAATAATTATATAAAATGTTTATTATTTTTATTTTATGTGTCTGAGTGTATTGTCTGCATGTATGTGAATGCACCTGTGTCATGCAATGCATATGAAAGTCAGAGGAGGACATCAGATTCCCCTGGAACTGGAGTTACAGTTTTATTTCAAGCTGGGCATGGTGGCGCATTCCTTTAATCCCAGCACTTGGGAGGCAGAGGCAGGTGGATCTCTGTGAGTTCGAGGCCAGCCTGGTCTACATATAGAGTTCCAGGCCAGCTAGGACTACAGAGAGACTCTGTTTCAAAAACACCAAAAAAAAAATTTGTTTTTTCTTTTTTCTTTTTAATTATCTGCATGTGCCTGTGTCTGTATATATGTGCATGTGAGTGCAGTACCCACAGAGGCCAGAAGAGGGCATCGAATACCCCAAAGCTAGAGATCCAGGTGGCTACAAACTGCCCAGTGTGGGTGCTGGGAATGGAACTCCAGCCCTCTGCAAGAGCAGTACATGCTCTTAACCACTGGACCATCTCTCCAACTTTGAAGGAGTCCATAAGATTAAGCATACAGGTTAATGGTGGAGTTTGAGCTAGTCGCTATGGTGAAGAAGAGCACAGAGTGTCTCTAGTGTAGACAGGAAAATGTCCCTCTGCACACCCTTCACCCATGCAGCCTGGCAGGAACAGGCCTTCAAACCCTGGGGGAAGGCCTTCCTGATTCCATGTGCCTCAAGGGTAGGACTGAGACCTCAGTAATTATGCACACACACACACACACACACACATCCCCAGACCCTTTGATGAACCACAGATTTATTTTAAGCAACAGCCTTCTGAGGACCAATGGGGTGTCAGGTAGAGGAGTCCACAGCCTTCTGTCAAACCCAGCACTGTTGTACCTGCAGGAACTCATTGGCTGATTCCTTTTGAATGACACTAGTTGTGTCCAGTGGAAGAACAATGGGAGGGATTTGTGCAATTCCAACATACACTGGCCACATTTGCAACAAAATAAATAAAAGGAAACCGGTAAATTAATGTATTTTGGTAATACAGGCCTCACTGCCTGCAGCAAGATGATGTCCCAGTCATTGGAAATAGAGAATGCATTTAGCACACTGGTTGGGCCCCTTCAGATCCTGGCTGCCCAGATTGGCCAGAGATCAGGATCCCAGGAAAGATCTAAACTCAAACACAGCAGGTTGGGGTGGGACAGGCCTGTCATCCCAACTACTCAAGAAACTGCAGCAGGAGGATTGCCCTGAGCTTGAGTACAGCTTGGGCTACATAGTGAGACCTTGTTTCAAAAAACAAACAGGGCCGGGCATGGTGGCACACACCTGTAGTCCCAGGACTTGGGAGGCAGAGGCAGGTGGATCTCTGAGAGTTCAAGGCCAACCTGGTCTACATAGTGAGTTCCAGGACAGCTGGGGTTGCAGGGACCCTGTCTCAAAAAAACAAAAAACAAAAAAAAACTTCAGCAGGACTAGAGAGATGGGTCAGTGGTTAAAAGAGTGGCTGCTCTTGCAGAAGACCTAAGTTCAAATTCCAGCACTCAAATGGGGAGTAACAACCGAGAGAGAGAGAGAGGGGAGAGAGAGAGGGGGAGAAGAGAGAAAGAAACCAGAGAGCGAGGAGAGAAAGAGAGAGAGAGAGAGAGAGAGAGAGAGAGAGAGAGAGAGAAGAGAAATTTACTGTGTAGCCCTGGCTGGCCATCACCATACAAAGATCTGCCTGCTTAAGTCTCCTAAGTGCTGGAACCAAAGGTGTGCCACCATACAAAGATCTGCCTGCTTAAGTCTCCTAAGTGCTGGGACCAAAGGTGTGCTCATCATACCTATTAGATCTGGGTTTTTTTTTTGTTTTTTTTTTTTTTTTTTGGTCTTTTTGAGACAGGGTCTCCCTATAGCCCCAGCTGTCCTGGAATTCACTATGTAGACCAGGCTGGCCTTGAACTCACAGAGATCCGCCTGCCTCTGCCTCCCGAGTGCTGGGATTAAAGGCATGCGCCACCACGCCCGGCTAGATCTAGTTTTTTAAATCATGCGCATACAGAAGGGATACTTGGAATAGAAACTGGACTTAGAATGTTCTGGGTTTTTAAAGCTTATGTATTGGGGCTGGAGAGCTGGCTCAGTGGTTAAGAGCACTTGCTGCTCTTGCAGAGGACCAGGGTTTGGTTCCCAGCACCCACATGGAGGCTCATAACTGTCTCTATATCTTCTTAAAAATTTCTCTCTCACCAGGTGTGGTGGTGCACACCTTTAATCCCAGTGCTCAGGAGGCAGAGGTGGGCAGATCTCTGTGAGCTCCAGGCCAGCTGGGGCTACAGGGAGACTCTGTGTCAAGAAGACCATACAAACAAAAACCTAGCTCTGAGAAGGAAACTGCACACTCAGAATAACCCTGCATAGTCCAATATAACATCTTACATTTTTTGTTTCATGTAGCCCAGGTTGGCCTCCAGCTCTCTACATAGCTGAGGATGACCTTGAACACCTGATCCTCCTGCCTTCTCCTCCCTAGTGCTGGGATGCCAGGCATGTGCCACTATGCTGGGTCAACACAGTCCTGGGGTAGAACCCAGGGCTTCCTGAATGCATCCAGGCATTCTAGCCACTGAGTTGCAGCCTTAGCTGATCTGAGACATTTGTTTTGTTTTGTTGGATACAGGGTCTATCTCAGTTCGTGCTGACTTAGAACTCACAACGTAGTCCAGGCTCTCTAACCTAGACTGGCTTCAAATTTTGTTTTGTTTTGAGTCAGCGTCTGATCTCAAACTTGTGGTGTAGCAAAGGACCACCTTAAACTCTGCCTCCTCTACCCATCTTCTAAGATTACAGGTGCCTACCTGTATTCCTTGCTGTACACATGCACATGTGTGTGTGCGCATGTGTGCATGTGTGTGTGCGTGTGTGTGCGTGTGCACATGCCTGTGTCTGTGTGTGTGTGTGTGTGTGTGTGTGTGTGTGTAGAGGTCATCTCTCCAGCCCCCAGATTCTTTATTTTATTTATTATTTTTATTTTTTGTGTAGAGTGTATTACCTGCATGTATGTAGGTACAGTGCCTGTGGAGGTCAAAAGGTGGCATTGGATCTCCTGAAACTGGAGTTACTGATGGTTGTTAGCTGCCATGTGGGTACTAAGAATCGAATCAGGGTCCTCTGCTAGAGCAGCTGATATTCTTAACCACTGAACTATCTCTATAGCACCCCCCGATTGTTTTTAATAGATAAAATTCACCCACAATATGAAGCCTAACTCCCAAGGCACCAGTGATGAGTTGTGACAGATGCCGTGACCTCCTGATGCCCATGGCACCCATTCCAAGGCTGGAATCTTATTTGAGTGTCTCTCTTCCCACCTCTGCCTCCTAGGCCCCCACAGAACACCAAATCCTCCAGGGCAGAGCCTGGACTGACACCTTATATACCAGGCAAATATATACAACAAGAACCGACCTGGGGCTGCATGACCCAGGATCAGCTTCAGGTTAGGGATGTTGGACCCTCTGGAATGCTGAGATCCAGCCACTGTGAGCTCTGGACTCGAAGGAGGGCATTGTGGAACTAGAATCCTGGGCTGGAAGAGTCCACTGGGGCCTGTGGGGGATTACCTGGGCCAGCACCTGTTCTCCACTGTGCCCCTCCCTGTGACCCAGTGGTTAGGTCCTTTGTGACCTAGGTCAGGGGCCAGGGGACCCTGAGCACCAGGGGGCAGAGTAGATGGTGAGTCTCCCCCTGGGAGCAGAGCCCCCACGCCATGGCGAGCGTGGTGGTGAAGACAATCTGGCAGTCCAAAGAGATCCATGAGGCGGGCGATCCACCTGCTGGGGTTGAGAGCCGTGCCCAGCTGGTCCCCGAGGCTCCCGGAGGGGTGCCCAGCCCTACCAAGGGGATCACGAAGAAAAAAAAGGCCGTGTCCTTCCATGGGTGTGTTTCCTGTTGGTGGCCTGGTGTCCTAGTGTCCAGCACTGCCTTCAGTAGAGCAGGGTTGCTGGAGGGTAGGGAGAGGCCAGGAGGAGGACATTACACCAGAGGCCAGGGAATGAAGGACAGGGAGGAGGGTCTGGAGGTGAGGAGGGGCGGAGAGAGGAAAGGAAGAAGGCAGCAAGACTGCGGAGGGGGGAGCTGGAGGTGATGAGGGCTGGAGAAGGAAAAGAAATCAAGCTGAGAGCCGGGCGTAGTGGCACACGCCTTTAATCCCAGCACTCGGGAGGCAGAGGCAGGCGGATCTCTGTGAGTTCAAGGCCAGCCTGGTCTACATAGTGAGTTCCAGGACAGCTGGGGCCACATGGAGACCCTGTCTCAAAAAGATAAACAAAACAAAACAAAGAAATCAGGCTGAGGCGGGTGAGGAGGGAGGAGAAAGCAGGTGGCGGGGAGAGGTAGGTACAGGGTAGGGATGGGTGGCATCAGAGGGCACAGGCGCTGTGCAGGGCACAGCAGGGCCGCCCCTCAGGCCTGCATCCCCCACTTTCTCCCGCACCCCGTGCAGGGTGGAGCCCCGGATGTCCCATGAGCCAATGCACTGGTGCTTGACTCTCAAACGGTCCTCGGCCTGCACCAACGTGTCCTTGCTCAATCTGGCTGCCATGGAGCCCGACTCCTCAGGGACAGACTCGACCACAGAGGACAGCGGCCTACTGGCTCTGCCCGGTCCGCCATCTTCGCCCACAACACCCTGGGCTCCTGAAGACCCTGACATCACGGAACTTCTGGTGAGCAAGTGAGAAAGACCAGGATCCTCTCACTGGAGAGGAGCAGATGTGAAGGAGCTGTTCCAGCCTTGCATGAGAAAGTTCTAGACACCCAGAACAAAGAAACAGACTCCATGAGGGTAGCAGGCAAAGCCTTCTGGGGCTAAAGGTGTAGCTCAGTGGGAAAATGCTCCTCTGGCAAGGGTAAGGGTACAACCCTGGGTCCATCCTCAGGAAGACAGGAACAGAAAAACTGAGCCTCAACCCAGCCCCTCACTGGGAACTCTAGGCAGGCGCTCCACCATTGAGCCACACCCCAGCCCCTCACTGGGGGATCCTAGGCAGGGGCTCCACCACTGAGCCACACCCCAGCCCCTCGACAGGAACAGAAAAACTGAGCCTCAACCCAGCCCCTCACTGGGGATCCTAGGCAGGGGCTCCACCACTGAGCCACACCCCAGCCCCTCACTGGGGGATCCTAGGCAGGGGCTTTACCACTGAGCCACACCCCAGCCCCTCACTGGGGGATCCTAGGCAGGGGCTCTAACTTCGGAGCACACCCCCACCTTTCTTTTACTTTTCACTTTGAGACAGGCTCTGACTCTATGGTCCAGTCAGGCTTTGAACTTGTAGTCCTCCTGCTTCAGACTCCCAAGTAGCTGGGATGACAGGCCTGAGCCACCACACCCAGCTGTCAAACAAATATTTCCTGAATGCTGAAGATGAGCTGTCAGGAGTAAGGAGACAGACAGCCCCAAGCCATCACCCTCAGCAGACTGCCCCACCATGATATCTCAGAAACCAGGACTCAGGCCAAACTGGGACTCATGGCTTTGATGCAGAAAGGAATTTTACAGCTAGCCGGTTTATGAATCAGAAACAGAGATTTCATTAACGATGTTTTATTTTATTTTTTGGTCTTTTTGAGACAGCGTCTCTCTGTAGCCTCAGCTGGCCAGTGTGGCCTTGAACTGACAGAGATCCACCCTCCTCTGCCTCTAGAGTGCCAGGATTAAAGTTGTGCACCGCCATGTCTGGCTTTAAGAAATCATCCTCTTTTACACCGATTGATCGATTGATTGATTGGGTGGGGGGTACACCACGAGCATGCTTGAGGATGTCAAAGGACAGCTTGGAGGAGTTAGTTCTCGCCTTCCACCCTGTGGGTTCCAGGCATCAGTTGGGTCATCAGGCTTCATGAGCCATGTCGCTGGCCCCAAGATCTGTTTTCTGTGGCTCCCTCTTTACTGAACAGGGACATAGACCCCCCTTATCCAGGTTCAAAAGCCTCAACCTGTCTGGTCATCATTCGAAGACATCTGGAAGACATGATGTCATTATTAGAGACTTGAAATCACGTATAAGGCCAGCAGGAAGGCTTCTCAGGTGAAGAGGCTGCTGTCAGGCCTGTTGGCTTGAGGTTGATTTCCATAATCCACATGGTGAAAGGTGAGAACGACTCCTCAAAGTGCCCTCTGACCTCCATATGCATGCTGTGGCATGTGTGTGCAACCACACACACATACATGTACACACGCACACTCAATCAATCAATGTAAAATATATAATTTTGGAGCTGGAGAGATGGCTCAGAGGTTAAGAGCACTGACTGCTCTTGCAGAGGACCTGGGTTCAATTCCCAGCACCCACATGGTAGCTGTGAACCGTCCTTAACTCCAGTTCCAGGGGAATCCAAAGCCCTCTTCTGACCTCCGAGGCATTGCACGACATGGGTGCACTCACACACATGCAGGCAATACACTCACACACACGTGTATATATATATAATCTCAGATTACTGAGATCAGCACAGAAAATAGCAAAGCCTCTCTATTAGGAGGTCCCTGATAACCATGACATGACGTCAGTCACTAAAACCTGAGTCAAGTGCTGCTCACCTTTAGTCCCCTCGGAATCAGAGGCAGGCAGATCTCTATAAGTACAAATGTAGCCTGGTCTACATAATGAGTTCCAGGCCAGCCGAGGCTTCATAGCAAGACCCTGTCTCAAAAGATAAACAAAAAAGCAACCACAAAACCTAGAACAGAATCTGACAGAGATTTAATCTGGATCTGTAAATCCTGGAGGACTGTAGACATTATGGGCGGGTCCCGCGCACCGCGTTACTGCTCGGGTCCCTGGCTCTCCACGTTGCTGGGGTGCGCGCGTGTCACGCACCGCGTTGCTGAGGCTCTCCGCGACTACTGGATGCTGACGACTCTGGGTTGCTGCGTTTCCAGGCGAGTTCCATTCCAAGCCACCGGCCACTCCCTCGAGGTACACGATCCGCCGGCTGCCAGATCACATGGGGAAGTGCAAGAACGGTGAAAGCAGAATCTCCACGAGTCGTTGTTTATCAAGGGACAGCCCCCTCCGGAGAGACTGAATTGTAGGCAGTAAGACACAGAACTCAGCTCAGTCAGACTCAGTGGTACAGCTCCTTTATTCAGTGACTCAGCTCGGCTCCAGGCCTTAGTTATTCAGCTCCGATTAATTAAGGGGAAACCAGGATATTTATAGTGTGAAGGCAGTGGCAAAAGCCTTAGTTGATAGGTGCTTTGTAGGATGCCCCATTTACATGTGGTGGTGGGCTTCTGCCAGGCTGTCAGACATTGCCTGATTATCACACAGGAAAACCTGGCAGTTCCTATGCCAGAGGCCATGTATCTGTGACAGCTACTTCAAAGATGAGTCAGGAAGAGAGTAGGGGGGCACCCTGCTGAGAAAAGGAGTCTCTGCATAAGAACGCCGAGCCCCTTGGGCTATCCGGACATGGAGAGACTTCAACTTAACACAGCAGGGGTCCCCAACAGGACATGGTGCCCTGCTGTCCAGGATATGTTCGTATCACTTTAATAATGATGCACGGAGCAAGAAATAGCAGAATCCAAGACAGGAGGCTGGACCCATCTCTGGAGGCGAGCGTCAGGAGGTGGTTTGGCCATGGGTGTCCAAGGTGCTGTGGGGCAGCCAGCTGTGGGCAGTGGTTATTAACTGTATTTCCCTGGTGAAGACCAGGAGGTGAAGACTACGTAGCCTATGTAACATCACACAGCTTGAAAGTAGCAGAAGCCAGCTTAGAGAGTCATGGCAGAGTGGGCACAGTGTAGGTCACTGTGGACATCCCAAAGAAGGAGCCGTGGTCAAGGCCAGCCTTGTCTACATAGTGAGTTCCAGGCCAGCTGGGGCTACTGGGAGAAAAAAGACCAAAAAAAAAAAAGTCTGGAGAAGGAGAGGGTGAGTGGAATGCCACCCACACCAGCTATAAAAAGATGGGTGTGCCGGGTATGGTGGCGCCCACCTTTAATCCAGCACTTGGGAGGCAGAGGCAGGCGGATCTCTGTGAGTTCAAGGCCAGCCTGGTCTACATAGTGAGTTCCAGGACAGCTGGGGCTACAGGGAGACCCTGTCAGACAAAAAAAACTAAAACCATGGGTGTTATCCCAGAGGCCATAGTATAGGTTCAAGGGGGAGGGAGGAGCACCTCTCTTCCCATTTACTGAGATCTTATTGTGTGCCGAGGACTGTGCTGTAGCTTATGATTTTTTTCCCTTTTTAGAACTTCTTAGGGAGGCTGATATCATGAACAGTTTAAAGATGAAAGCAAAATTAACTGAGGTGTGCAAAGGCAGAGTCATTTCCAAGGTTACGAGGTTGTGGGGGTACTTGTAGAAACCAGGAGCAGGGCCAGAAAGCTGCTGTGTTTAACGCCAAACAAGTCCTTTCCTCTCTAAGATCCCTCTGCAGCTGAGGCCAAAGTGTAGAGGGGAGACAGTAGGTGTGGGGGTGGGGGGGCAGTGAGTTGGATTCAGACCTTCCTCCACACCCACCCCAGAGGTCTGGTGCCTGACTTCCTCCTTCCAGCAGCTTCCATGCAGAGCCTGGAGCCCGCTGCCTCCCACCAGACTTATTTCTGACTCATGTCCTTCAGCAGCTGGTGCCACCCAAATAGACCTGGGTTGTGGGGACTGTGACTGTGTGAGCTCCCTGCCCGCCATCAGCCTCAAACTGCCTTCTGCTTCCTCCTCTCTAAAATGGACCCCCATAACCACATCTGGGGTGAGGGAGAAGGAGCTGAGGCTAGCACCCAGATTGAGAGAGGGAGAGAGAGGAGAGAGAGGGAGATGGAGGAGGGGGAGAGGGGGAGGGAGAGGGAGAGGGAGGGAGAGAGAGGGAAAGAGAGGGAAAGGGAGAGAGAGAGAGGAGAGAGAGAGGAAACCCTGGGGGGAGGGGGACAAAGACCCAGGAAGAATGGGGAGTAGAGACTCCAAGAGAGAGAGACAGAGACCAAGAGAGAGGGGGACAGAGAGAGAAACCCAGAGAGGAGGAGACAGAGAGAGAGATAGACAGAGACCCCGAGAAAGAGAGAGACCCAGTGAGCAGGACAGAGATAGAGGGACAGAGACAGAAACTCTGAAAGAGAGGGAGACCCAGAGAGACTCGGAGAGAGAACCAGAAAGGGATGGGGACAGAGACTGAGAGAGACAGAGACAGAGATAGAGAGAGGGAATCAGAGAGACTCAGGGAGACAGGGAGATAGAGATCCAGAGAGAGAGAACCAAAGAGGAATGGAGAGAGAAACAGAGACAGAGACAGAGAGAGAGACACACAGACAGAGGCAGAGATCCAGAGAGGGGGGAGGACAGGGACCTAGGAGAGAGAGGAACAGAGACCCAAGGAGTATAGTCAGAGAGGAGATCCAGGGGGCCATGGTGACTTTGGCTGATAATGACAGTCCCTATGTGGAGGATGGTCACCCTTGGTATGGTGACAGGTGAGCGTTGGCACCTGCCCCAGCTCTTCTGGAGGCAGAGGGTGCCTTAAGGAGGTAGTGCTGTGCTTGGAGGGTCACCAGGTGATGATGGCAGAGACCTCAGGGTGGGGGGGTCCTCTTCCATCACATAGGCCCCTCAGCGCCACAGCTGTCTGCCCTCCTGCATGCACCCCACTGTTTCATTCTCATTTCCTTTTGGGGGTGAGCTCTCACCACATAGCCCTGTCCGGCCCAGAACACACCATCC